ATCGATGACGTGCATCGGGTTTTATTTGGTATCCACTATACGTATTGGCGGATTCATACAATAATAAAAGTAATATAAAGGTGTTGTGAAGGGCGAAATATAGCGAAAGGCTATTTGTATATTTAAAATGTACATTACACAAGAATTTAGAAAAATGTATTATACAGAGTCAAAATCAGTATCCTGAAGAAAAATATATCTTCTCTGAAATAGTATTGAATGAATGAATAGTGACGAGATATGCTCAAGTTATATCTGTGCCTTAACTTTAGAAAGAGTAAGTTTTTCGTATGAATATGGTAGGGTGGAAGTCGTTACGAATTAATATACAAATGTAAGATAGACATAGTAGAGTATCTACAGTTTTCTTTCCATAGTTAGCTAACCAATTTTATTTCATCGTTGCTGATATATGATCATATTTTTTTGTCCATAAACAAATCTACTTCAGGGATTTTGAACTTACTGCAATCGCATCTTTATCACAGTCCAGGCAACTGTAATATAAGATATCAGAGTAATGTACCACAGATATAAAACCAATGATTCACATATTTATTTGCATAGAAAATGTTGAACATGATTTTTGAATAATGCTATTGCAGGTGGAAGGAATCTCCAATTTTGATCAAACGTTACACCCAAAATATTTGATTTTTATTTTAATTCCCAATTACCATCTAATAAGTTAAGTTAAGTTAATAGTTACGATTTATTTAAGCCATGTCATACTTCAAGATAGGGTCAAGTGTAAACAACATTGTCGCTAAATAAGCGAATTAAATAGAATATCCAAAGCTCTTCATAGCTATGACGAAAAATTGCTAGATCAGGCAACATTGGCTATCCTGTTTAATGTCGAGGCCCAAAACGATTCCGAATCCGTTCTACAGTCCAGAATCCAGAAACGATCCTAGAACCACGACAGGCCGCGCATGCGTGAAACAGGGTACCTCACGATAATCGAACGGTTCGGGTACGATACTAGCACTATATGTTAGGACAAAGCTAGTGTGTCCCATATTTGCTTCTCTATGCAGAGATCTCGGCTCCTGTTATATCTGCAGTACAGGTTAGATGGGGAAAGTTTTAGAGGAAACTTAGTGCTTCCGATAGCCGGCTTCAGATTTACGATCTGTCAATTGGCTTAGCAAATATCAGAGTAAAACCGAAAATGGCGGAATTTGTTTTTTGCCAGTAAATCCAAAACGGTTAATTTGACAACTGTCAAAATGTGACATTATTCGGATTTTTTTTAAGAAAAATAGCATGTATGACCTGACTCAATCGTATTTTATTTATCAGCAACCCGCCTCAACTTTATTTGTTTATTGCCACTATATCGGATTTTTTGATTTATGAAAAGAGTGTAAAATTTCCAGTCTAGTGAAGTCTCACAAGTGCATGAAAGATTGGAGTATCACCTAGATATCATCACAGGTAATGTTGTGTTAGTTTTTTTCTAAGGAGGCCATGATTTATTTGTCCGAAAAAAACATTAATGAGTAAGGCATAATAAAACATGTAAACGCCTTGAATTTTCAATAGAATATTAACGTTAATATCGACTTCTCACCAAGTCAAATGCTTTGGGACCAAATCCCAACTATGAGTGTGTTGAAAAAATAAGTCAGAAAAATCGTCGTAAATTTATTTTACACTTGAACAAACAAACATTTCGCAAAATTGTAATGTATTGCAAAATGTTATTATGTAAGTGGGTATTAATTTAAAGATTTGCAAAAGAACGTCCATTTACATTTTTGACAATTGCTGACTGGTTTTCGTCCAACCTTACCCAGTGTATTTCAGTTAATGTTTCTAACTGTGCTCAAAATTATTTGTCTCAGGATTTCTATGGTCGCAGAAGGATCAATTTCATAGACCTCATTCTTTGTGTGACCCCAGGGGTAGAAATCCAAGGGTGAATGATCAGGGGTTCTAGGAGACCAAGGTATTGAACCATTTAATGAAATTATTATTTCATCAAACTGCTTTTTTAAGAAGTACCTGACTTAAATGGCGTTAATACTTAATTTCAAGTAGGTCTCTCTGCATTTGATTGATTTGATGTCAGATTTATGATTTTAATGAGAGAAAAAACGTACCTACTACTTATAAAAGCACAATTTTAATACTTAACGTCAAATTCAGAGCCTGCTTAGATTAAAAAAAATGCGTTACTTATTAATTTTATTTTCTGACTAATAATTCATGGCCTCCTTGGAGAAAAATTAATACATCACATTACGTGTGATGATATTTCGATGATACTCCAATCTTTTATGCACCTGTGAGACATCACTAGGCTTGAACTTCTACGCTCTTTTCAAAAATCGAAAAATCCAATATGGCGGCTATAAGAAAAATGAAAGTTGATGCAGGTTGCGGGAAAACAAAAGGCGATTGAGATATGTCATACACGCTATCTTATTTGCCTTAAAAAAATAATATCACATTTTGACAGCTGTCAAAATAACCGTTTCGGATTTACTGGCGAAAAAAGCAAATTCGACATTTTCGGTTCTTCGCCGAAATTTCCAAAACAAATTGACCGATCGTAAACTTGAAGCCAGCCATCGAATGCACTAAGTTTCATCTGAAACTTTTCCGATTTAACATTTGCTGTAGGTATAACAGGAGCCGAGATCCCTGTATAGAGAAGCGAATCTGGGTCACACTGTATATACATTATACAATATGACATAAAAGCACCTCTATGTCTATGTTAAGCACATGTTTGGTATAAATGCCCTTCATTGGCCTAAAGATGGCTGCATAAGTTAAATTTCAAAGTTCTTCCCAATCTGTCACGTCAACAGTGGCTGCCCTATACACAGTGTTTCATTTAAAGCCAGAATTATTCTGACCATGGTTGTGAGTCACTAAGCGCCTTATGCTTGAGTTTTCACTTGATCAAGGTAAGTCGTCCACTTCACAGCTAAAACACCGGCAACATTCGAATATGAAGTTCATAGCGAAAATCACAAATGAAACTGGGGACTTCGAAGCGCGTCAGCGGCACTGCATCATATAGTCTCGATCATTCACGAATGCTTAATTGTTTTAAATGTACCTTTTCTACATAAACTAAATTCTACTAAGCTAATTAGACAGTGTAATAAGATAGGTAGGTACATGGTTTGCTATTTTCAAGCAAATTAATTTAATAGTATATTACTTCCAATAAAACTGGTTCCAGAAGATTCATTTTAATTATACCGAATAATTTAGTTACTTTTGGGTAAAACTTTTCCAGAACAACTATTCAATTGATCATGTTTTCTCGGTGTGGTAGCTTATATAGGATGTTTATTAATGTATGTTAACCGGCATTAAATAACGGAATGTTTTGAATTTGTCGCAATGCATACGAAGCGTGACACTATTCACAGTAATTCCAAACGTCGTACCAAACTTTACGCACCAGTTAACAAAAACTATTCACAGAATATTCAATCATGACAAAACCGACAGCGTTGCTCTGTTTTCAGCCTATGTGAATGGTTATGCATTCATCAAGTCCAGTAGCTTGATATTGTCATAAACTGCTTGACTTGACAATAAAATTACTTGAAACGTCAATTCTAGACTTGTTTTGATTTTTTTATTGTTTTACTTGGCTTGAGGTCAAGCACTTTCAAACTCCTTGAATCTTGGTGGCAAATTATATTTGTGGTCTTCCCAAGGCCTTCAATAATATTTATTTCTACTACCGACTAACCGTTCTTTGTATTTTAATACAAATAGTCACTTAAACATCGAAAATTGTCATTGCCACCTCAAATGATGCATGGAAACAACGTCGCCAAACCAAAATCACAAAATCGGTAGATAATGTCGTTGAAATTCGGTAGATTCAAGGACAAAATCGGTAAGAAGGAAAAATCAGGGCCGGCGTAAGATCAGTGACGGATCAACAGCTTTTGGACCACCTAGCGCTATCTATGAAGAGTATATTATCGTATAGTGTGGACACACAACACATACACAAAGGTTTCCTGTAAATATAAAAACGAATTAAAAAACAAAAAATAATTCAACGTACGCTTAAGATTAAAATATAATGTATATACATCTTTATACATGTTGTATAACAGACACAACTTAAAAATAGTTATTATTATATAGGAGCCTCATGTATTTTAACTCTTATTTTTATCGTTCTATTATTTGTTATACGAGGAAGAAATTATTTTGATTAATATAAATTATTTTCTCTGATACTTGAGAAGTCTTTGTGTTGCGTATTTAAAATAACCTACCCTACTCGTATTTATATTACAAAAATTATCAAATAATATCAAGACTACTTGAATTTTCAAGTATTTGATTTACAGACGTAAAAACAACTTGACTAGGCATCAGATTGACTAGGTTACAAATCAAGTAGCTTGAAAAGCAAGTCGACTAGAGATCGCTATAATTGGTTCTATGGCTAGATTTGGAAAAATGACGTGACATCAAACATTTTGAGGTGACAGTGGAATGTCAGCCGTTGCAACACGTTCAACCTAACACGTTCGCTTTGTACCGCAGGAATGAGATGTACCTCATAGACCAACGTTTGTGCATCGCTAACATCGTGATGCTTTTAGGGTTCGTATATAATGTCACTTCGATGTTGAAAACATTATTTTACGTCGTTCTGGTTACCCTGATAACTGTTTGCAGAGCACAAAGTAAACAACGTCTAAAATGCAGTTTGAAGTTGGAAATTAACATGATGCAGCTAATATAAGCTATTATGCATGCGCTTTGCTCACGGATACAAAATCCTAGAAACAGTACTTCATCATCTCAAAGTGGTTTGACTTGTGCGTCCATGTATAATCATTATTAGCATTTAACATTGATAAGCCAATATATTTGTCCGCCCTAATCTCAAGAATCATTTCGCACTCACAACGGGGGTAGGTACAATTATTATCCCTTGGAGGAAATCAGTCTCTGAACGAAAGGGTCGCTATTGCCTTTCATCTCCTTTGTGGAATTCCGACCGCCTCCATATTCATTTGGCAGTAGTCCTCGGTTCTCTTTTCTTCGACGTTAAACGAGCCAGAAACCGTTATAGTCTTCTTTAAAAATGCACGACGTAACGAGAGCTCCTGGAAGATAAATATAAATCAAGGGGTTGGCTGTGCGGCAGTGCCGATTCTAAGAAAAATGTGATATCTTGGAGCCTGAAAACTATTACACGGCTTAGGTATTCTTGAGACCATCGTATGAGAACAAAAAATTGTATTTCGTATGATATTAATAACTTGAATTGAAGAAATTGTGAATGTTGATTTTAATATGTTTACTTTGTTGCAGATATGGCCAAAATCGTAGATCGTCTGGCTAGTTAACTCTTGATAAGACGGCTGATAAGAGAAAAGACCGGTAGGTCAAATTATGATTTTAGAGAGTTTTGGAAATCACATATATCGCATATGTAAACATTCACGTCAGCCTTTTTTGATAATACTCACACGCGAATCATTGGCTTAAATTTTAAAATAACGTTGAAATTCACGTTTACCTATGCGACATTTCTGATTACCAAGACACTGTGCTAGTAATACAGTAAATGTATACTTTTTTGCAAAAGAACAACATATGTGTAGGTATTTTACTGATTTCTGCGGGTCACAGTCAAGCTACCGGTATCAGTATTCACTTCCATCTCCCTCGTACACATCCACTCTACCACTATATGCAGACGTTTGTTTGTGGAAGTTTTTAGTTTTCTCTCACCGCCTCGAAAATGTTCTCGATATGTGTGCACGATGACAGCACTGCCTAGTGACCATAATTATCTGGGATACTTCTTGGAAACTAAATGTTTCAATAATAGTAATACGTATGGGATTCAAATCCATAAAACACAAATTAAGCTTCCAATCTCAAACTATGCGAAAAGGGAAGTAATTGATGTCAGCACAGCATGTGAGATACGATGAAGAACTTTGATTGAAGGGACAAATCTACTCAATTGGACCCGCTGATCGTCTGTGACAAACTCCCTACAAAACATCATTAAATATGTGGGTGCCTATCTACCTCGGCTAAGACATCCCTGCTGTAATATATTCTACCATTATTTAACATTCATTAAAGTTTTATCAAAAAACAGATGCCTGTAGATTCAAGCGAAAGAAAAGTGTTCATCTGGCTTATATGTTAAGGCACATCGTCGCCAAATGGATCTAACAGAATTTTTCTAGAACAAGCGCAATAATCACTCAGAATTGCCACTTTTCTAAAAGCAATCCCCCAAATCGCAGTTAACTAATAGAAAAGGGTAGGCTTAGTTCAGAGAGCAGGGGGATGCCTTCTATCCACGAAACGTGTTATTTCCTCCAGAACATGATATGTATTCCCAAAAAAGTTCACCAAGTAAAAATATTCCAGATTTGGGAGAAAGCCTTTCAACATAACAACCTTGTCAAATCACCACAGGTACTCTAGGCGTCAAGCATTGCCGTACTTTGTCCTGGTATAGAGGCTCCATGGTCTGGATTTATAAGGAAATGGCAATTACTAATTTGCATCAGTACAGCGTGACCCAACTCGAGCAATTCACACCCTAAATTACTAATCTGTAATAGCGGTGAAAATGTACCATAGCGGGAATTTGGTCTTAAGTCCAAAGTCTAGACTTAAATATAATTCTTGTTATCTTATGCGAATTTCAAAACGTGTTCACTGTGACCTCCACCATCATTGTGTATTGCTGAATCCATCAATATCAGTGTATTTACACATCAATAAATAAAATATTTATGCCCAAGCTACACATTCATGTTTAATAATTATAATAATATTACCGTAAATAAAGATCACGGTAAATACTAAGCGTGTTGCATTTGCCTGTGTATTTATAAACCTGCCAAATTTGGATCCGTTAATATATCATAAAACTTGTTGCATGTTGCACCCAAAGTGCTAAACGCGAAATGGCAGACAAGTGAATCAAAATATTCAAACGTACCTCCAACAAATCCTTTTTTCTGTAGAAAGCGTATATTGTGCTTAGATCCGCTTCTGTATTTTATTGGCACTTCCCGGTCACGTTTCCTCATGCAACTTTAATATCACTTACCGGGGACGAAAAACCCGCTACTGGAAAATCTAAAATGAAAAGCGTTATGTTCACAGTTGACCTCACACGTCTCTGTTGGGTTAGGGTAGCAACGAATACACCATGGCCATATAAAGTGCATTATAAAGCGTTTCTCAACATAGTACAGAACTTGAAGAGATGGACGAGTGGTTTATTCAAACACTATTTTGCCAGTCAAAAAACTAAGCGCAAGAAGATAACACTTTTTATCATCAAATATCATTCATGTGAAGGTTTTTAAATGTACAACAGCTGTATGAATAATAATCAACTAAAATTATTACTGGATGCACATGTGCCCAATAAGAAATGACAAGGTTTATGAATTAAGTGATGTGACTGATTTTTTAATTTTTTTATCCAAATAGAATTACAATTTTATATTTTCACCCTCAAAATAACTTCCTTCTGAAATCAGACAGTGCTGAAGACGGTTCTTCCACTTCGCATTAACAGTGCTGTAACTCCGATACAGAAGTAGTCTGGCTGGCTAGCTGGCTATTTGAATGTTTTCGACTGTCCCTTGAGGTGATTTACTGACTTCGGGAAGAGAAGAAAGTTGAAAGAAATCAAGTCAGGCGAATGAGGAGGCCGAGAAATCACAGGAATGTTTTTGCTGGCCAAAAAATCATCCATTGGCATGGCTGTGTGACAAGGAGCATGATAATGATCCAACACCCAGTTGTTCTTGGTCTTATAACCGGTGGTGTGAGTCAAATTTAACCCTTCCCTGATCATTCTGACTGTCAAACGAAGATCTAAATGCACAACATCCTGGATTCTGCCGATATTTTCATCGGTTCTTCAAGATGAAGGCTTTCCGTTTCGTGGTTCATCTTCAATCGACTCTCTCCATTCTGAAAATGCCTTAAACCACCAAAAAACCTAAGCTCTTAACAAAACACTATCTCCGTAGGCTTATTTAGCAAGAGTTTCCGTTACACTGTGGCCAAGTCTGAAGCAAAACCTGGTAGCACACCGTTGCATGAAATGGATGACACTCGTGCTTATAACACAATAGAAAAAATTGTTTCAAAAAAAAATTGCTACAGCCAACCGAACAAGTTCAGACTTGTCCTGAAGGTGGATCACATATTCTCCTGATCGGCACCTCCATTGCTGCCACATCGAACGCTGCGTTGCCACTCTCATCACTTAATTTACAGTCCTCGTAAGCAGTTAAAAGAGGTTAGCAGTCTATTCTACCTAAATATAGTGATTTTCAAAAGTCTAATATTGAGATGTAATTTTTGCCAATAATTATTCAAGATATATTTTCCCATATCTCCGAAACAGATTTTTTTCAAATCGTCTGATTATAAAACTGCATCAAAATATTTAAATGAATGCTTGAAGTTTGCCTAAATAAGAGCTTCCTGAAGTCGTTTCGGGTGTACCAGTTGGCGGGGTTTCAAACTTCCTAAAACATCTAACCTAACTAATGTATCTATTTTCCTGGTCATATTGCTTTTATTGTGTGCCACCTCACCCCCGGCGGGCTTGCACCAGGTAATTAATAACTGTAAATTGTAAATGTTCAAGTCCAAGGAATGCCGATGTTGCCGGATTTCAGGATATAAGCCGTTACCAGCTTCTCTTTTTTGAAAAATAAATGAAATAGGGGCAAAACAAAGTCTCATGTCCATCACCTCCGAATACGGACGAAATTATGAAATAGCCTTTGAACCCCACGTATTTCTTTATGAACAAGAAATTTCAGCATGCCCCAAACACGATTAAATAAGAATTTAGAATTTGCCTAAATCATTTGTGAATCGTTTTCTGCTGGAAGAACATCCCCAAAAAGAGCATAGCAAATGTATGTGTGAGTACTTTCCCGCCTTGGTTAATAATTTTGTTTTTAACCCGATCAGCCATATAAAGGTCACGCACGTACCCTTTCTGCGCTATAATAATAATAATGATAATAATAATAATAATAATAATAGCATTTTTTGTCTAACAGTTACCAATTTACATGATAATTACAAGAACAAAATAAATGAACACTGAACGACAGACTTTTGAAATAAAATTATCAATTTAATTACTGGTAGGTCATCCGAATTACTACAATAAGAGAGTATATAAATATATCTCAATTACATAACACTATTGAGATTTTTACACATGGCATGCGCAGGTGACTTGACCGAAACGTTGGTCCTTGCTCTGGATGCTTTAAAAGTAACATAATTGGGCGAAGAGAGCGGATGTACATTAACATCAGTTTGCGCTAGAATATCTGGGGAGTCGATCATGTATGTAATAGTTCGAAAATAGTGCAAATGAAACCTTTCTTCTGAAGTCTAAGCTTTTATTTCTAAATGCCCACACAGGTCAGCATTAGTAACTCCTTGCCCAGGATAAACTCCCTCAGACTTCATATAAAGAAATTTAGGGAATGTTCTTTCAACCTTTTCAACTTCGTTTGTATAAATTTGGTAATACGGGTTCCATATGATACTTACACATCCACATTATGTAAAATATAATACCTTCAAGGCCCTTTTGTCGTGAAATTGCCTACAATTCCTGATGAGAGAATTGTATGACAATCCGTTCTGAAACTTTTTGAGAAATATGGCTAGCAAATTTTGATCTTAAAAATATGAAGGGTTTTTCTCCTACTGTAACTAACAATCTTGCACTTGTTGGTATTTAGATGTAAATTGTTGACGTCGCACCAAGTCCGAATACTGTTCAACTTCATCTTTAAATCCAAACAATCATGAATATCCCTCACAAACGAATATATTTTCATCTCGTCACCAAAATTTTCACATAGAAATAAAAGTGGTCCCAAGTTACATCGCTGGGGAATACCGAATGGAGTTGAGTAGGTTTTGGACTTGAATCCATTATGTTCTACGCACTGCTTCCACCCTGATAAATAGGATCTAAAGAATTTCATAGTGAATCCAAAGTTCCTCGATCTCTTTAACAATGCTCTATGATCAATTTCGTATATATACAGTGTAGAACACCTCATTTCCGATA